GCACAAGACAGTTCGTTGCATTGATAACTGTGTATGTTCAAAGTAAATCTAGTGATATTGGCCAATGAAAATCCTTTTTATTAATTACTTACAGACAATATTCTCAGAGCACCTCTTTTTCTAGAGTGTAAATTCATACTATCGAATGTTCCAGGAAAAGTGCACTTATCAAGATGTTAAAGATATTTCACTTCTAATATATGTATTTCTTTCGATACTAATTTTTCTAATTAAGAGAGTATACGAATTCACATCAAATTGAATCGTTCGATATATTTAAGCCTAGGCTACTCGATGATTAATGAGTTTTTTTAGATGTAAGAGGAAAAGTTGTTCTGATCTCACTGTTGTGTAATTCATGAATTTGAGACTTGAGAGAACAATTTACTAGAGTAATCAATCTGACACTGATGTTCATTTTTCAATGAAGAGACATAAGATTACTATGAATACATCAAGAATGTTTCTTAAGTTGGACTAAAATAGGGAAATGAGATTTTAAGAAACGATTGGACATTTAAACAAATGAACGTACGAAAACTCAAATCCATGAATTAAACATCAGTGGAATTAGAATAGCTTTTCCTATCCCATGGTCTAGGACGATGAATCAATGAATTGTCTAGATTTAAATATCTTGAACTAAAAAATTTGGAGCGAATACATATATCTTCTTTATCAGGGACAAAAACATCGACAAAGTAACACGATAGATGATACTCTCGTTCTTGGAGTGTCCTATAGATAGATCTGACCCAAAAAAATAAAATAGAGACCTAGTCAAGTTGGATACATTTGAAAGATGTCTTGTTGAATCGGACGTAGATGAATAGTTGTGGATAAAGAGAAAATCCACAGCTACTCTCACAAACCTACTAAACACCGATAATTGATTGCGCCTTGAGTCTGATAATGAAATTTTATTCCTTCTATATGAACGAATTCGAGAAATGCACTGTTAATTTCTATGGATGACATGATCAAGTCAATCAAGATTCTTCGGTTCATGTAACTTTCAAGAAACTTCAGTATACACTAATGATGAATATAAATGACATCACATGATGGAAAATATTTATTGTCTGATGAAAACATGTTATTTTAAGAGGAATTTTCTGCGCCTAGCAAATATACATAATGATGCACTGATTCGAAATGCATCAAGTACATATTGCATGTGTATCAATTGAAGCTCACAATATCTAGAATAATAAGTGTGATTATGGGTAATTTACATGTAGAAATGTGAAGTCCATATTTGCCATTCACTCATTTAGTTAGAATCAATATTAGATAATTTTATTTATAATCAAGTATCTCATAAAAAAAGAATTTTATAATGCTGCTATTTGAAACAATTTGGAAAACAAAACTTGGACTTTTTCTTTTTCTTTTTCTGAATATAAGAAGCTTCAATGATTATTGAACTATTCGAAGATGTAGTTAGTGTTGATGAAGTTGTTGATTTCGATCGTTTCACGGCAAATGTTTGCCAATAGGATTCTTCAAATACAGTTTCGTCGATCCAAACTGTCATCGTTTTATCCTCAATGTGGAACAAAAATTCAGTTTTTTGTCGCAGATTGTATTCCCATTTTTTTCTCTCATAATAGTCATACAACCGAAAACCAGTTCCCACAAATTCGAAAGTAAGACTGCGAAGAGATACTAAATATTTCTTCATTAGTGGAACATTATATAGGCTTGATGTATTAATTTTTAGATGTTCGACGTGAGGAAAGCACTTGACAATAATAATAATATCTTCTTCGTTGAATGCATGTTCAGAAAGAGAAATATCAAGGTATTTTACATTATTGCTTTTGCTCATGAAAGTATGTTTGTTTGCTAAAAGCAAATCAAAGCTTATATGAAGGAAACTCATATTTGTGACACATGCAAGGAATGCAGTTAATGCATAGTTATCCTTTTGTGAATATACAATGGCAAGTTGCCTGATTCGAGAACAATTTACATGTGTTATCACCCATTTGAATATCGAACTATCCATATTATCCACTATAAGACACTTTACATTGTTAAAGTAGTAATGACATGATACAATATCATTCATGTCGTGAAGTTTTAAGCTTACATTCTCATTTACTATCATAAGGTCATTATTGATCGTGCGGTTGGGTGATATCCAACATTGAACAACAGGCTGATAAATTTCATATTTCACATGGTGCTTCATCTTGAATATGTCAAAACTATTGAAACCCGATCGTTCATGTTTCGTTATCATTAGATTGAAATTCTTTTTTGCTACCCAATATGAACTTTGAAACGAAGCAAGTCCATTATGAACATTAGCTTTTCCAATGCGAGATATTGTCGTTCGAAGAGTAAAATGAATCAATGATGGTAATGATGTTTCCAGCAACATCTGCCACGCGTTTGCATCAAGAAGTTCATTGTGTGCTATAACTTCAAGACGATTTAAAATAGGCATTGAATTAAAATATTCTCTTAACATATCCATCGTTATTGAATTCTTTGAAGAAAAATATAAGACTAGTGTACGAAGTGCAGACGATACTGCAATATTCCTTTTTAAAAACATTTTCGGTTCATCAAAATAACGATTTTTACTATCGGTTAATTGAATATTAAGATATTTAAGACGACGAGCACATTGGAAAATATATTTCAGGTCTTCAAATTCAAAATGTATACCAGATATAGTCAAATATTCAATGTTTGATGAGATATCTGCCAAATACTCGCAATTTATATAGTCCAAATTGCTCTTAAGGGAAAATCGCTTAAGCGATTTTAAGCGAAAAAGATCGACAATAACATTTTTCAATGGTGACCTAAAATCAGCGTTCATTTCTATGATCGATAAAGTTTCAATGGTTGTTTGTGATAATGATATAAGAGCCCTTCCAATAATTGCCTTATCCATACTTTCACTGTCAAAATGAAAATAAAGTGTTTGAAGTCGTTTAAATACTGCAAATGATGGAAAAAAAGATAGAAAAGCATATACTTGACCAGGTGTATTTTCTTCTGATATGGCTAATTCTTCTATTTTGTCGATATAGGCTGGTAAAAGACCCATACACAAACGAAAATCATCTTGATGACATTGAATAAAATCAAAACGAAGCCGTTGACATTGAATAATGAGTGAATCAAAACGTTGATTGAGTTGAAAGCTAAAAGCTCTTAGTAGATCGATTCCGTTAATATATTTTTCAATAATATCAGTTAATATTTCGTTTGGAAGTGATTCAAGTGTTGAGAATGACATTTTTGAAGATAAAATGATAGTAAGAATCGATGAATGATGATAAAATGCTATTGAACACTGAAGTTCTGTTGATTTAGTTTTTTGTTGTGATGAGAAAGAAAATTAGTAGAAAAAAAAACATGTCTTTAGGATGATGTCGAAATTTAAAGTCACATTTTGTTATCTTTCTGTTGTCAGCAGATAACACCTTAATTTGCTTTCTTTTCAGCATCAACAAATATTCTACAGGTATTCATGAAAAGTGAAGAATATTTTTGAATTAGTCATTGTAATAACTATATATGGATGTGTTTGTCATAAAAATATCGAAAAGGGAGTGAGTCATAAGGAAAAGAGAACTTCTAATATGGTTTATTGTACAGTAATTTTTTGAGTGAACTCATAGACAATTGAATGGCATAACTGTGTCTGGATGCAAATAATTTCACTAAGATATAGATGAAAAAGCTGTAAATGATAGTTTTCTTTACAAATGTACTGATTCACCAATGTATCTATTTATAAATTCATTACACATTTATCTCTTTCAAGTTAGATTCATTTATAAGAGAACATGTTAATACTCTTCTGTTGTTTCAAATTTTGGTTGACAAAGAGGATTATATTATCTTTTCAATGAGACAATTATTCATATATAAAACTATATTGATACCTTGACAAAATATGCAACGAGGTTTTCATTTTCCAATCTACTTCTAATGCTTTATAATTATGGTCTGGAACTTGTTGGAGAGGCGTTCAGAATTCCGATAGAAATGCTTTCAAAATTGTTCAGATATGAAAAGATAATTTCTAGTGATTTTTAGCAATTAATAACGAATTAACAACATATTTCACAAACAATTTTTGTTATTTCTGTAGCATAGGCAATCATTTCTAAGTAAATTACGTCAATTAACGAAAAATTTTTGATACTTCTAAGGAGATGCCAGTATTTACTTATTATTTTTGGACATTATTGAAATGGTTGAACACCAATGATAAATATGTCATGTTAATTTATTGGAAGTATTCGATGGCTCTACTCTAAGTCACATCAGTTTTCAACAGTTAGTGAGAAATTTTGAAGATTATTGAAAAATTCAAAGATTTGAGAGTAGGCTTCTATATTGTTCTAGAGTCATAACTTCATTTACCCATACGCATGTGAACCATGCTTTCAAAATATTGGTAATTTTCTTAGAATTTCTTCTACCTATAGGTACTTCAAAAACTATTCAAACATACCCAGTGTCCGGATACTTTTTGGAGTACCTGTAAATCATTGACTACTGCTGACCTTTTGCTGATCATAGTATCGAATCGAAATAGATTAACAACAGTATAACAGTATAGTATTGCTTATTTAATATGCATACACATACCATTCTCCAAAACTTCACATTTCGATCTAAAAATATTTGTTTATACGAAATACTACAACAAATTGAAATATTCATATCTTACTATCTAGTATAT